ATGAATAAACCTTCTTTTTCACTTACAAAAGGCAGATACTAAGTTTGTTGTAAAAACTAAGCGAGTTAGGACATGTAAAATGGTTAGAACAGGGCCTGGAACGGAGTAAGTGCTCAAAAAGACTAGCTACTAATATCCTTGAGTCACTTCCTCCATTGTCATCGGAGAGGGAACTGAGGCCGCATCACAGGGCAAGTGGACAGCAAAGACCAGATCCCACATGCAGCCAGGGCATTTCTCCTTAACACTAGTTTTTCTTTTGATGCAGGAATGTGAAGCTGAGATGAACAAGAAGGAAAGTGTCCATGTAGACTTAGCGTGCTCACCCCACAGGCCCTCCACCCCTGACAAGAGGACGGAAAAGAAAGCCAGGATGCTGGGCTTGGCATAAGCACTGCCTTCCATGCTCCTGATACCCCTGCACTATGCCCTCTACACAAGGAGACTGAGTCCTACCAACCCGAAGCTACACAGTACCAACGGTGTGTGGGACTGGAACTCAGACCTGCTTGCTCCCCACCCTCAGGACTTTCGCTGCCTTCCCAGAACTATCTTGCTTTTGGCTGTTCTGTTTACTAGCTGAAACTAGGTCCTGGTCCATTCTGCCTTTGTGTCTACTTCAGCTGGAGCCATGGAGGCTCAGCCGAAGGCTGTAGGGTTCCAGAACACTCACACTCTACAAGGGCAAAAACCACCAATAGCATTTTGTTCCCTCCCACATTTGTCCCCAGGTGCTAGATGTGATCTAAAAATGACAACCACAACAACAATAGTCACAGAGGCATTTATTACGCAATCCTCGGCCCTCTGCTACCATCTCCTTTTCATACAGTGATATGTATCTTTAATGCTATTATTTCACGTTGCGCAGACACTGGATCATGCAAACGGGGCCGGGAGCCATAGGCTCTGTGCTACAGACCCAGCCCGCCAGCTGCAGCTGACAGGCCATTACTCTGTGTCCTGCAAACTCTGCAGTGATAAGGAAACTCTGCCAATTTGATGCTTTATCTCAGGGCAGTTTGAGGAAAGATATTATTTCAATCAAGATAATGATTCTATTTCTTGGACTGAAATGAGATTTTTTTTTCCTGGCCTCATGGGGGTGCCACAAAATCCATCTTGGGGCTAGACCAGTTAAAGAATTTCTTATAATCTGAGGGAGTATAAACATGAAGAACTGAAAACAGGGATCTCATTTGCAAGAGAAAAACATACACCCCAGATCTATATGATCACAAGTAAGTTCCACTTACACAGTCGTAGGCATGACACAAACCCACAAGGCCACAGCTCAGAAGCTGGGTGGGCAGTGTGAGTGGGACAGTCTGGGATAGACCCGGTGATGGTAACCAGGACCTGCAGGCTGAACTCCTGACAGAACCTCAGAAATAGTTCCCACCTGCCCAGCGCTGAGGTTAGGGTTCCTGGGCACCAGTGCTGACAAATGGCCTCACTACTTTACCGATACTTTCTACTCCAGGGAGCTCAGTAGCCAGGGCCATGGCTGCTGCATCCTCTTCTGGGAAGGTGCCTCCGAATTATACCAAGTCCTTTGATCAAAGGAAACCACAGTGATATTCAGAAGGTGCTGATGGTGCAGTAGTCTGAATATACTTTGGAAAGAGAATATGCCTTTCAGTAAGTCATTAAACAATATGTAAATGACACCAGGGAATTAATGCGGCAAGACCTCAATAATTTGCACCCAATAGTACATAGTGAAATGTAACATTGTTTGAAAGATTTGGGAATTCCAAAGGCTGCAGTAAGGTGCTCACAAACTGCATGGATTTTGCCTTAAATAATAGTAACTGTCATTTGCAACTGGAAATAATAATTTATGATTCTTACATCACTTGTTTGTATAGTAACTCTAAGAAGCTATATTTGTAAAATTTTGTGCATTTTAAACAGTCCATTGACTGCTGCATCAGACTGTAATTTGTTTTCTCCAAATAAAAAGCAAATTGCAGCTCAGCCTCTTCTGGAACAGTCTCAGCTGCTGACTTTAGGGGCCTAAGAAGCTATTAAGTATCTTTCAAATATCTCTTCACCAAAAATATGAATATCTCAAACAGGTTGTTGATGGTGTGCACAGACTTAGGGAAAGTAACCCTAAATTTATTGGGCATCTCGCTCCTGCTTAGGAAGATGCAGCAGCCGGGGTTCGATCCCTGGCCTGCTGTGCCGGCCCCATCCCCGGAGCATGCTGAGATGAGGACTGAGACTGAATGTGGTGGTTGGCGCCTGAAATCCCAGCTCTTGGGAGGCTGAACATAGGCGGATTGCTATGAGTCTGATCTACCCAGTGAGACCTTATAGGCCCTGTACTAAAATACAAAAGAAAAAAAAAAGAAGAAGAAGAAGAAGGAAAAAAAGAAAAGAAAAAAGAAAAAAATTTATTGGGCATCTGACAGAGGAGCACCCTGGGACTGAAGATGGCAAGGGGATTTTTTTTTATAGGAGGATTTTTGGTACTTTAGAATTTAAAGATATAAAACTATATTACATATAAGAATAAAATTTCAGTTCATAAAGCACACACTGAGGGCAAGGGACATAGCTCAGTGGAATAAGCACCTGCCTGGTAAGCACAAGGTCCTGAGTTCAATCTCTGGTGCAAGAAGAAGGGAGAAGGAAGAAGGGGGAAGGGAAAAGGAGAAGGAGGAGGAGGAAGAGGAGAAGAGGAAGAGGAAGAAGAAAGCAAACAAGTACACATTGTCCTCAGCAAAATCAGACCTTGGCAGTATGGATTTCTGTTTCATCATCTATACTCTTAAAATGCAAGTGTAATAGCAACAAAAATGATTGCCAGGTCACATAAGCATGGCACGTGGCTGCCTTCATAATAGGGATGCTCACTGGCATGACAGGGAATGCAACTGGTGCCCTGCACAGGCCCTTTACAACTGCCAGCCCATCCCTGTCTCAAAGCAGAGAGCAAGGCACCTGGCTTTCATCTGTGACGTTCTCTGGAGCCCCAGCTCTTGGCTGAGGTGACGCCTGCAAGGGTGTTCTGCCAGCAATGTGCTGCAGGTGGTTGATGATGCATGTGTGGTATAAAGCCCTGACCCTTGTCTCCAAACCAGACATCACTGCAGTGCAGTTTATGTGGCTGAAATCGAGGAGCTTCACCCTCAGCACACATCCTTTTTTCTGTCTGCTTCCTTACCCAGGCTTCTGGTCTCCCTGAGTGGTGCTTCCTAAGCCCTTTCCCTGGATCCACCACAAGCACCTGGAACCGGCTCCTGTCCTGCCTCCAGTTTAACTAGCAAGTCACCCATGGCTCCGGATAGAGCCCTCTCCTGTTGACAGAGTGGCCCTGGTGCTAGAAGCACACAAACCTTCAACTTAGAGGGGCAGAACCTCAGTAACCACATTCCCATCCGTCCAAGACTGCCAGCCTAACACACAACCTATGAAAGCAGTGACAGCAACACCCTGGCCTCTGGAACAAAGAGGTTTCTCAAAGCAGGACCATGGGGGACCACACAACCATCCCTTTGCTGCCCTAGGACATCTGTGCAGAAGTAGGGTCAACCCTGAAAGGGACTCTTCCACAAGTGGAGAAGTGTCCAGTTATGTGCAGCAGAAAGTCAGAACATTTTAGTTCTGCATCTTGCTGTATTGAGCAACTATAAGCCTCAGTTTTCTGATCTCCAAAATGGGGGCCTCTGAAAGAGCCTTTGTAGAGCTTGTGTACAGCGAGACTGCCAAGTGCACTGCACACTGGTCCTGCTGGCTGTCGCTGCTGCTGAGACTCAGAACTAGTGAGTGTTCCTGCCTGCACAGAACAAAGAACAAATGACCCTATGTTACCTAAGTAATCCCTGCTGCCTGCAGCATGGGCACTGGCAGCTCTGGGGAAGAGCACGTGGACAGCTGGAAGTGCCACCACAGTGACTGCCCACCCGGAGCTCAGGGCATGTTCTGACTGCTGGTCACATGAGGTACTGGCGACTCCCAGCTGCTGCTGTATGGGGAAGCCTCCCTCTCTGCTTGTGCCACTCTCTGACACTAAGAGAGACCCACAACATGAGGTTTCCTATAATCTGCCCATTGCAGGCCTGTACTGATCTCACATACAACCTCAAGTATGGTGGAAAACTTGCAGCCCTGCAGCCATTTTGATACAATAGAGCAACAAGCTCGTAGAAACTTCATTTTATTTGCATGGATAGGGGGTTTTTTATTGCATCCAGGTTCTTTGTATCTGGACCACTTAGAAGAGCTTCAGCACTCACCACTGTCCTCCCTCTGGTTATCAGACCCAGGCCTGTGTTGCCCTTGTCCTGTAGCAGGCCTCTACAGGCCCCCGTGCAGGGGCTTCTGGCTCAGTCCCTGCCTCCCTCCCTGTTGCCCAGATCAAGTCTCCTCTTCCCCATAAAGTCTTCCCTGGATACAACTCACCAGCAGCCTTTCTGGTGTGTCACATGAGCCAGGGATGACCCCATGCACCATCCAAGAAAGCCCTTTAATTGCTTTATGTTCCGATGTCTTCTCTTCCTGGCCTGGACAGAGCCCAGCCCTGCTCTACCTCCTAGCTCACTCAGAGCCCACCCATCCCTACCACCCAGCTGCATGAAGAGACTGGTGCACATGACTGCTCTTATCTAACACACAGTTGCATGGCCCACATGAGGATTTACTCTGCTAAATAAGATTCACCTGGCAGCAAACTTAGAGCTCCCCAAATGCATGCCTCTCTTTTCCCCTGAAAGGTCACGCTTGCACACATAATGAGCCAAGTGAGTGGCTCTCCCGTGAAGCCACAAGAGCAGCTCCTGAGCAGGACACAGAACCAGGGTGCACAGTGTCCTTCTTCAACTTGATGCCTCATGTGCCTGGCTCCAGCCCCACCCGGCAAAAGGCACTTTCTAGAAGAACTCAAAGCCGATCCCACCCTAGTCACGCTCCCTTCCCCTAGCAGCAAAAGCCACCTGCTTCCCAGGACTGTTGCACAACCACAGAAGCAAACAAGCAAAATTCATACTCACAGGCACTGATGCCTTAGTCTGAAATTTCAGGCTACCAGTTTTTCTGCAAATCTGGTCATTTCCTGAAAAGAAAAGGAAGGGACGGAGAATCACATTAGCATCTTCTCTGGGCATCCCTTTCGGTTTCCTGGCCGACCTCAGGCTTCTGCACCTTCTCTGCATTCTCCCTCCCAGCAACACTCTCTCCTCCCTGGGAACACCATGTGCTAGCTAGCTGGGTGGGCGCCCCCACCCCTGCAAGCCTGTGGGCTCTGCCCACGCCACCTCCTCCCACTCCCCGGCGCAGTGCCAGTCTCAGATTGACCAGTGCCTCCAATTCCCTGAAGGCGCTGGGCTTCTTCCCACTCCAGAGTGAGGCCTCCACTCCTGTAGCATGGGGTTGCCTAGCAACCCTGCGCACACAGCTCAGAAGGCCCTCCTAAATTGGACCTCACAGCACAGGGCATCTCCTTGTACAGCTGCCTGCATCTTAACAATCTGGCTCTGAATAATAACACAATGGTAATTGCATTCATGGACCCCAAACTACATTTAAATAATGTTCAAGAGCTGACACAAACCAACAAAGGCCAGAAAATGCATTGCGGAGGTTGACTGTAAGGCCATGCAGGAGTGCACTGTGAAGGAGGGAGATGACACCAAAGACTTGAGGTAATGACAATGCCAACCTGAACTGTGAATTCTCCTGCCTTCCATCTGAATGTGTCACTGCTTTAATGTGTTGTAATGTTAGGTTGGGCAATTAACACCCAGAGGTAGTGGCACCTCAAGACAAGATGCCCTTTCAGTACACGGACAGTTTTTGGAGGGAGCAGGAGAGAGGAGCTGCTTGGATGTAGAGAACTACGCCAGCGCAATTTTCTTTGGCTTTCACAATTGTGGCTAGATACATTTTAGAAGGTGAGGGAAAGAACCCACCAAGCAAGAGCGCAAGACACAAGGCACTCGCTACGTTAGTGGAGCACAAGCACAACATGACTGATGTATTTCAGGACAAGAAGTGAAGGCAGAGGCAGTGACACTAGCTCCCGTACAGGCTAAGTGGCTTAGTGCATCATGCGGAAGGCGGCATGCAGGAGGGGCCAGCCTGCACCCTGTGTCCCTGGCAGAGGGGACTGCAGAGCTCTCCTCAGGTGGCAGTCTTAACACACAGGCAACAACAAGCTGGCAATCTACTGCTTGTGGAGCCACAACAGCACAGGGCCAGGAGATCAGACCTGATCATTTCAAAACTCGAAGCATTCTATTTTTTGTGAGCACAAAAATTTCCTGCAAGGTACTTAGACAGATACCTGCAGATTCCTGCTCATACCAGCATTATTCAAATAGCCAAAGGGTAGAGGCAAACCAAAGCTGTATCAGTAAATAAAAGGATAAACAAAATGTGGTACATATATAAAAGGGAATATTATTTAGCCTTAAAGAGAAAGGAAATTGTGACACAGCTACAGTATGGATGAAACTCAAGGACATCGTGTTGAAAGAAGCTAGAAATACAAAAAGGATAAATCCCGTATGATCTCACTTTTATGAGGTTCCTAGAGCAGTCCAATATTCACAGAGAAACAGAGCAGATGGTGGCTGCTAGGGACTGAGAGGAGATATTGTATCTACCGGATATAGATTTCATATGAAGAATGGTCCTGGAAATGTGTAGCAGTGAAGATAGACAGACAGACAGACAGACAGACAGATCTCAATCTCAATCTCAATCTCAATCTCAATCCCCTTGCAGTAATGGCACAACAAACATAGTTTCTTGATAAGACTTCTGTCCATCTTGATCTGGGAAATCAGAGGTTGGTGTCAGACAGGGAGACGTGTCACCAGAACTAAAGGACACACTGTTGAGCACAGCTTGCAAACATGGTGTTGATGACACACGGCCTCACCCAGGGCCTAGTGTTGAGAGGGAGGATTCTCTTGCACCTGCATTTCCAGTGCGACACCAGTGCCCTGCAGAGCCTGCTGCTCTTCCAAGGACAGTCTTCTCCGCAGGTCCCCTGCCTGCTCCCTGCAGACGCACGGGCTCCAGAGACGCTCATTCTTTTCCTTCGTTCACCCTTAGCTCTCTGTCTAGAAAGCTCTTTCCAGAGCAACTAACCTATCCCTACTCCTTCTCCTGAGCTCACGCAAACCCCACGTCCCTCAGAACTTTCCATATGCTCTGTGTCACTTCCTCTGAATGCCACAGCCTGCAACCAAGGCCTTGCTTAGGCACTATCTCATGCTCATGCCTGAGTGTTGCTTCTCCCAACACACCCCCAGACAGGGACTGTCACTAGCACTTTTATGTGCTATAAGGCCAAGCACACCGTGGGTGGCTTGATTGCCTGTCTTCCTTTCTTAGGGAACACTAACTGCAGTTCCTCTGCCCAGGGTACAAAGCCCATGTGCTGGCCACATAGTCCTAGAACTAAATATTCCAGGCAGGCCTGCAGTTCCCTTCAGTCATTTAGAGGTATAACTCAATTTGCACAATAAACAATTGAGCATTTACAGATTTTATTAATTTGGAAAGGTCATTAGAGCTAACAGCTTCTCTGAGAGTGAATAAATAGCATGCGTAATTTTTTTTTTTTTTAGTGTCCTGGATTTTTTCTTAGAATATGCATTAAGTCTCAAAACAGCATTATAAGAAAAAAAAAAAAAGAAAAAGAAAAAAGAAAAACTCCAGGCCTGGGAGATAGGAATTCTGCAGAAGCCCTGGTCAAGCTTCATTCTTCTGTCTTCTCAACTGCAAAATGGGGGCATGATCTTAAAGTCTTCCCAACTCAAACAATTATAAAATTAAGGCTAAAAGTGAGAACCTAGAGCAGCCAGCAAGCTTTTAAGGTATTAGTTGCTCCTCCCACACCCTACCAAGGGCCGGACACTGCTGCACTCTTGGTAGATCAGGCGCCTGTCCCACCGCTCAGCTGGGAAGGGTTCTCCAGCATTTCAGAGGCTTCCACAGACATCGACCTGGACACCCACAAACCCATGACCTAGCTTGCCTGGCATTTAGGACATCATTAAAGAATGCTCGAGACTACAGATTTGTTTTCTCAAGTCTCTAGGCTTGGCTGGAAATGGGCCAAAGGGCAGTGTCCTGGCTCTGCCTCCTCCGCCCTCGCTCTGTGATCAGTGGTGCTGCCTGTGAGGGGCCCATTGCCTTGAGAAGGACGCTCCTGTTCCACTTGGACAGTGAGATCACATGGAAGCAGCATTCAGAGGCCAAAGGGCTCCAGCTCCAGCCAGCTCTCCTAGGAAAAACAGCTGGCCCTCCACCCGGCTGCGCTGCCAGCCAAGGCTTTTCTGACACCCCTCAGTTTCCCGGTCACTGTCCCCTCTTCTCTTTGCTTCTGTGTAGAGACAAACATGGGTGTCAACAAATGCAAAGCCCCAAACATTCATGTCCCCCACTTCTGCACCATGTGTGACTTTTAGTAACAATAAGACTATTTATGAATTAAAACTACATGAATGACACCAATACCAATATTAATATAAATATTAATTCATAATATGCTTTCTGATTAAGCATTTTCCCAAACCCCTATCAAGTAGGTAGGACAGCTCCAATCCATTAACTGAGTGCTGTTATGTCTCAGGTCTTTGCAATCTGGCAGTGATGCTGATATTAGAAGATGTGATCCCCATGAGCAAACTTTCTGGGGGGATGGTGGCTTGGTGGCAGGAACAGGGAGGCACAGAGTTGCTGAGCCTCCCACTCAGCCATCCAGCTAGCAGATGCCAGAGCAGCATCAAACCGCATCTCTAGGCTCAAGGGCCTTTTCCAAGTGTACCTGCATTGGCTGTGAGTCCAGTAAGACTTCTGGCCTGCACAGTGCCATCCAGAAGGACCTCATGTCTAGGATGTCAGGGCACATTTGGCCGGAGCTATGCACAGAGCAGAAACCACTACAGATGTGGCCCAGGGCTCTGGCCTTTCTTCCATCACTGCAGATCCTTCCTCCCAGCAGCCTGAACGGAGCGACTGTCTTGAGAGCTGATGCAAATTCATGACACCTCTCTCTTAATCTGCACTAACCTTTCTCTTTGAGGAACTGGCAGAGCACTTACAATCAGCATGTGACCCACAATTGGTATTGTTCTCAGAGTTGCTATCATCTTTTTTTTTTGCGGGGGGGGGGGACCTTCCATGCTTGGAGAAGCCCTACAAACCTCTCACTGACAGCAAGGAGCATGCAAGCCCAATGAGGGCAGATGCCCCAAGCCACACCAAAGACAGGACCAGAGCTGAGTTCTCAGATCCCAGCCCAGTTCCTGCTTGGGGAAGGGGAACTTTAGGCTTTGTCCTGCCAGGTTTTCCCATGGCCCATTGAGATGCTGAGGACACAGCAGTCACCCAGCAGACCTCTGGGCCTGGGACCAGAACTCTTCAATGTTGGAGAGTGGCTGGCACAAGTAGATACACCCCAGAAAAAGCCCAGAGGGAGAGCAGCAAGAGGTTCTTCCAGAAGGTGGCCAGGAGATGGTCCCTCAGGCGCCCACACCACATGCTTAGTGTGAGCTGGAGCTAGATCAGCCTTATACTTGGCCATCAGACTTAACCTCCCTGCATCACATTTTTATCAGCTCAGTGGGAAAACAAATGGTTCTGCTTCCTACCTTAATCCTAAACAAGGATTACATGAGAAAATGGCAAGAAGCCCTTGGTACAGGGCCCCTGGTGAGGTCAGCAAGCCTGGCTTTCCCATATAAAGTCAATTCCACGAGGGCAGCATGCCGACCTGTGCGGGGAAGTGCCTGCACATAGTGAGAACATATTGTGCCCCATGGACAGTACTTCTGGTGAAAAGAAGCCTGGTATGACAAACTGCCACTACAGACCAGCCAGCCTCTGGCCCCGAGGTCTAACGGATAGTCATAGGGGTCTCTGGTGACAGGGAGGCAGGGATGCTCCACCTAGAATCTTCTGGAAAATATAGTACATGGGTTTTTGTTGGATTTTTTCTGATAGGACAATTAGACACCCTGGGAACACAAAGTGTGCCAGCCACTTCGGAAGGCAATCTGCCAGCTGCTCACGAGAACCGTCCAGGCTCACCATACCATG